CTATAAATTGTACAACTCAATTGAAAAACAAACTGAAATCTGTTGTTTTTTTTTTTTTTTTTTTTTTGGGGGGGGGGGGGAGTAAAAAAATATAAAACTAAATGTGGTTGCATAAATGTGCACACCCTCTTATAACTGGGGATGTAGCTGTGTTCAAAATTAGGCAGTCACATTCAAGATCATTCAAGTCAGTACACACCTGCCATCATTTAAAGTGCCTCTGATTAATATTATTATTATACAGGATTTATATAGCGCCAACAGTTTGCTCAGCTCTTTACAATGTAACGGGAGACAATACAGCAACAATACAGTTCAATACAAGAAGGTTAGGAGGGCCCTGCTCCTTGGAGCTTACAATGTAAGAGATTAACCCCAAATAAAGTTCAGCTGTTCTAGTAGGTCTTTCCTGACATTTTCTTAGTTGCATCCTACAGCAAAAGCCATGGTCCGCAGAGAGCTTCCAAAGCATCAGAGGGATCTCATTGTTAAAAGGTATCAGTCAGGAGAAGGGTACAAAAGAATTTCCAAGGCATTAGATATACCATGGAACACAGTGAAGACCGTCATCATCAAGTGGAGAAAATATGGTGCAACAGTGACATTACCAAGAACTGGACGTCCCTCCAAAATTGATGAAAAGACGAGAAGAAAACTGGTCTGGGAGGCTGCCAAGAGGCCTACAGCAACATTAAAAGAGCTGTAGGAATATTTGACAAGTACTGGCTGTGTGGTACATGTGACAACAATCTCCCATATTCTTCATATGTCTTGGCTATGGGGTAGAGTGGAAAGAAGGAAGCCTTTTCTTACGAAGAAAAACATCCACGCCCGGCTACATTTTGCAAAAACACATCTGAAGTCTCCCAAAAAAAGCATGTGTGAAAATGTGTTATGGTCTGATGAAACCAAGGTTGACCTTTTTGGCCATTAGTCCAAAAGATATGTTTGGCACAAAAACAACACTGCACATCACCAAAAGAACACCATACCCACAGTGAAGCATGGTGGTGGCAGCATCATGTTTTGGGGCTGTTTCTTCAGCTGCAACTGGGGCCTTGATCAAGGTAGAGGGAATTATCAACCGTTCCAAATGCCAGCCAATATTGGCACAAAACCTTCAGGCTTCTGCTAGAAAGCTGAACATGAAGAGGAACTTCATCTTTCAGCATGACAACGACCTGAAGCATACATCCAAATCAACAAAGGAATGGCTTCACCAGAAGAAGATTCAAGTTTTGGAATGGAGCCCAGACCTGAATCCGATCGAAAAACCTGTGGGGTGATCTGATCAGGAGATGCCCTTGCAATCTGACAAATTTGTTTTTGCAAGCAAGAGTGGGCAAATATTGCCAAGTCAAGATGTGTCATGCTGATAGACTCATACCCAAAAAGACTGAGTGCTGTAATAAAATCAAAAGGTGCTTCTACAAAATATTAGTATTAGGGTGTGCACAACTATGCAACCATATTATTATTATTATTATTATTATTTTTTATAGTTTTTTTGTTTTTACTTCCCTCCACCTAAAAGGTTTCCGTTTGTTGTTCAACTGAGTTGTACAGTTTATAGGTCACATTAAAGGTGGAAAAAGTTATGAAATTATTTATCTTTGTCTAATTTTTTTTATATCACAGAAACCTGGCAGGGGTGTGTAGACTTTTTATATCCACTGTATCTAAATTCCTGATAATAAAAAATGTTCCCATCTCTTTTGTTGCAGTATATTGCATTATAAATAATTTGAGATGTCCATTATTTTTACTTTTTAATACTTTTTTAGGCCAGAATAAGTCAAAGGCAGTGCATCAAAGCACTGCTGATTTCTGCTAGGATCAACTTGTAGCTACTCTTAAATTGCTATCAGCGAGGGGGGGTTGAATGTATGGTTTGTGTGCCTGTTAGCCTGGGCTGTGTTTTTACAATTGAGAACATTGTCACTTATTTGCAATGGTGAATGGTGTAGGTTGCTTTCATCTATTTGAAACTTTTTTTTTTATTAACTTTCTCGCTATAAATAATTTTATTGTAAACAATAAAGTTTACTTTGGATTAAACTGCAGTTCTCTGGTGGAACCCCTTTGCTCTGATGGTTGAACTCTAAGTAAGCTCCCATCCCTCTCCTCCATCTCCCTCTCTCCCCCCCCCCGTTTTAGATGCATTGCCAATTTATATTACCATCTCTGGTCAATGGCTGTTAAGCCTAACCAATCCAAATTCTAATTTGAAAGACAAGCATCAATGCAGGAAGGAAATGCACATTGACGTATGACAATGCACCTGCCTAATGCTACAAAAAAGTGAATTTCTACGCACACGCTTAGATCTAAATGAGACCTCATACACTTCACCCACTGTGAAATTGTAGTTCCCAGTCTGGTCATGGTTTTTTTTTTTTCATTGCCTTTATATTATTATTTATTAGTATTATAAAGTTATTTACAACATGGGCTGTGATCGCAAAGTGTAACGCTTGGCAAATTGGTGAAATACTAAATGTTTGACCAATGATACCCTTGTACCTGATCAGAATTATTTAACTCGTTTTGAAGGATAAATGTTTTAGTTGATTCTATAAACTCCTGGAGAAATGCAAAAGCATTGTGCTAGATGTGCTTATTTTTACAGTCCTAATAGACTTGATGTCATAATATTGCCGCTAGTTATAAAGCATTCGAACTGGTACTAGAATGTCTGTGTGGGTGTGGATAACCTCGAGACAAACAGAACTGTCTATTAAATAGCTACTGTCATTGTGACTCTCCCTTTGTAGCAAGAAATAAAAGCAGAGGATAAGGTTGGCCTCACATTTAAAACATTCTCCAGTATAAAAAAAAAAAGGCTGTTTAGTCACACCAAGGCCAACAGTTCAACATTTTAATCTCCTTACAGCAAAACTTTCACCCCTTACAAAATAAATACAGAAGTAGACATTGACAGCTGCATCTGCAGCTTTTACTGTCGTATTAAAGAACCACCTTTCTAAGATCTATTACAATAAAACATGTTGCTTATTGTTGTATTATTGATTTATTTAAAAAATTGTGTTTCAGTTATGGGGTTGCCACACACAGCCCGTTATACAAGAGTCAATCATTGCTTGATAGTGGTGTGATGCAAGTCCATTGTGATTGGGTACATTAAAATATTATTCCTATCAAATGCTCACGGTGGAACACAATGGTTTTCACATATTGAAGTAGCATTTATTTTTTCTACAGAGAAAAAAAATGGATAAACCTATGCAGTGGCATTGCTAGGATTGGTGTCACCAGGTGCGGTAAAGCATGGTGTGTGTGTCCTCAATCGGACTCTCTCCTGTCTAACTTGCCACAGTACCCCGCAGGGTAGGGTAGATGTTCTGTAAAGTGCTCCATGCAGATGTTGAAATGCACTTTGAACTTTACCTTATTTAAATTTTTCAATTGCTCTCTTTAGGTATTCGGTGTGGAGAAAATAAAGTGAGAGCACATCTAATACCTATGGAGAGTTATGGAAATTAGGTGGAGTTGGAAATCAACCATGCCATTTCCTTGAGGGATTGGCATTTAGGAGGTTTAAAACAGGCAGTGAGGAAAAGTGATATCACCTCCTCACTGTCTGTCAAATGCCTCTGAAAAGTGACCTGAGCATGGATCACTTTTCAGTGGAGTGACAGTGCGTGCTGCAAGTGTGAACAACCCTTTTGGGTTCACACTGGTGTGCTGTGGTTTGGCTGCACTGGTGGTGTACTCAGTTTTCATGTAGGTTACTCCCGGTTATAGCCGCATTCCCCTAGACTTCTATTAGGTTGCACATTTTTGCAGGGTTTTCTGAAAGCGCACCAAAGATGGAGCGCTTTCAGAAAATTTGGCAAAAATGTTCTGCTTAATAGAAGTCTATGGGACTCTGGCTATAACTGGGGGTAACATTCAGGAGAACTGCGAGTACACCACCACTGCGGCCAAATTACAGCACACCAGTATGAACCCCCCTCGACTGCTTGATTCAAAGCGTCTTGCCCACACGTCCTCTTAACACACAGCACACGGGCTGCATGGAATGTGGGCAGACACAGGGAGGGAGGAGGCAAAGCAGATACAGCCTCTTCCATTCATGTGGCGGGGGGGGGGGGGGGAGCTGTGGTGTCTGGGCTCAGTGAGAACAGAAGACCATCACTCAGCTCTGTGGAAGGTGCAGCCAACATTCTTGTATTTACAGAGGGATGGCAACACTGATGGAGCCCCCTACGCCCGGCCTGAATGGTCAGTCCGCCCCTGCTTCCTTCTTGATGGTGTCATCCCTCTGGCGGCTGTCATTTGCGTGCGGTCCGCACCCCCCGTACCCCCATAATGACGCATCTGAACCTTTGCTTACACATGGGCCACATTGTAGTATCATCTCAGCCAGAAAGAAGGTAGTGATCTTCTATTATCAGTTTAAAACAGTCACGATGAGAAATGTTTGTTTAAACCCATGTTTGAACATGTCATAATAATGAAAGTTTACAATGTCCGCAATTGCACATGGTGATGTGTCAGTATGAGCTGTCGGACTGACTCCTAGTCATAAGGTGGCTATGCTCCTTCAGTGTTTCCCTATACACGAGCAGCATTGTCACCCTGTGATACACACTTCCAAGGAGAACTACAAGCTGAAATTCTTTTTAACCGTGCCCTCAGGACGTTATTCTAAGCCTTGGCAGACCAGCCTATGCAAGCAAATTATCCCTACAGGAAAATCTCACCATTCTTGTGAGTGACAGTCAGTGTACTGGTTACACATGATCAGTTAGGACATAATTGCAGGCATGCATATTGGTATGAGATGCACCCACTTCTATGGACAAGCAGTGAGAGACTTCCAAGAGCTGCAGAAATGTGCGTGGCACACAAAATTAAACTATTCATAAAGCAGTTTCTTATAGGGATTTAAAAAATAGGGATCTGACATCACTAATACTGTACTAAACCCTATGGTTTTTTTCAGCAAGGACTTAATTCTACTTTAAGCTGCTGTGAATTAAGTACCGTATTTTTGCGCTCCATAAGAGGCACCTAACCATAAGACACACCTAGATTTTAGAGGAGGAAAACAAGGAAAAAAATATTCTGGACTGCAGACATAGTACAGGAGATGACCAGAGACTGCAGACACAGTACAGAAGATGACCAGAGACTGCGGACACAGTACAGGAGATGACCAGAGACTGCGGACACAGTACAGGAGATGACCGGAGACTGCGGACACAGTACAGGAGATGACCGGAGACTGCGGACATAGTACAGGAGATGACCAGAGACTGCGGACATAGTACAGGAGATGACCAGAGACTGCGGACACAGTACAGGAGATGACTGGAGACTGCGGATGTAGTACAGGAGATGACCAGAGACTGCGGATATAGTACAGGAGATGACCAGAGACTGCGGATATAGTACAGGAGATGACCAGAGACTGCGGACATAGTTATTATTGCCACCATTAGGGAGTTTCACCCTCCCTGTACTGACAGGTGATCTAATCCATATTAACTCTGTCCAAAACCTAAAAAATAGTTCTGCCTTTAGTTGTACTATAGCCTAAGATGAACAATGGACAAAGTAGTAAAAGTAAACTGTTCTACATGACAAACACATTACCAAACAACCAGAGCAAATAGTTTTCTTTTAACCCTTCTTTTCTGAGATGTCCGATAAGGGATGAGTTACAGTTGTGATAACTCATTTAAGTTCTGTGAACAAAAGTCTTTTTTTCAGCACAGCAGTCAAACATACATTGCTAATATTTGAAAAGGGCACTAGAGCTCCACCTGCTGGCTGAAAAAAGGATTGCATAATATTATGCATTTTGTAAGTTATCTTTCTAAAAACTCTTTCTATTTATTTTAGGGCCAGTTCAGTGATTTATTCTGGTGCGATTTTATTTTTTTTTTTTCTTCATCTCAATTGAGGACATGTGCATTTTGGTGCTTTTTTTGATGCATTTTGCTGTGCTCTAGATGTGTTCCATACAGGAGAATGCAGCTGTTCTACATTTGTTGACTACACTGGAACAGGCTGCACTGGTGTGAACTAGGGCCCTTGGATTCCATGTTAAACACTGTCAATGCATTTTTAATGCAGAATGAAAGCACACTGGATTACATCTGGTGTGAACCAGCTCTTAGACCTAACCTTAATAAACAAATCACTACTCAGCTGCTTAGTATGTATTTCAAGATAATGCAAACTTGACAATCTTTATTACCACTGCAAGTGTGTATTTGAAAGCTAATATTTGATTGTGGATGTCCGCTTATTACTGCTTAGTTTTTTCATATACATAAATATGCCTTAAAATAGTGACTGGCATTTCTTCTGTATCATTGCTATTTTGATACTAGTATCAGTATTTTAAAAAAAAAAACAAAAAACTTTGTGTTCATATTAAAGATCACAAACTTGCATAAACCTAATGTAGTTTCAGAAAAACTAACCCTTTTTTGTGAAGAAGAAAAAAAAAAACACTTTGGGGTTAGTTTATTAAATTTTATAACCTATAAAAAGTGACAAATCAGACTCCTTGATTTATTTTTTCATAGAGTAATACTATAGTCTAAAGTTGACTATGGGCAACAACACAGCTTTTTTTTTCCATTTTTTCTTTTTTATATATTTTATAGACTGGTCTCTCTTTATAGCATCCAATACCTCTAAAATGGACCATACATATGGGGAGGGCCTATTCAGTTAATTCAATTTATGGCCACTTAGCAGGGCCTGCATGCTATATACAGTGTGGAAAATAATTATTTGATCCCCTGCAGATTTTGTAAGTTTGCCCACTTAAAAAGAAATTAAGGGTCTATAAACTTTTTATCATAGGTGTATTTTAAATGATAGAGGCAGAATGTCAACTAAAAATCCAGAAAAAAACACATGATACAAATGTTATAAACTGAGTTGAAGTTCAGTGAGTAAAATAAGTATGTGATCCCCAAGCAAAACATGACTTTGTACTTGGTGGAGAAACTCTTGTTGGCAAGCACAGAGGTAAGACATTTCCTGTAGTTGATTACCATGTTTGCACATATCTGAGGAGGGATTTTGTTCCTTTACAGATCTTCTCTTAATCCTTAAAGTTTCTTGGCTGTCACTTGGCAACTCGAAGTTTCAGCTCCCTCCATAAATTTTCTATAGGATTAAGGTCTGGAGACTGGCTAGGTCACTCCATGACCTTAATGTGCTTCTTTATGAGCCACTCCTTTGTTGCCTTGGCGTTATGTTTTGGGTCATTGTCATACTGGAAGACCCATCCACAACCCATCTTCAGTGTTCTGGCTGAGGGAATAAGGTTCTCATCGAAGATTTTACAATACAGGGCCCTGTCCATTGGCCCCCTCAATGTGGCAAAAATGGTCTGTACCTTTCAGCAGAGAAATAGCCCTAAACCATGTTTCCACCTCCATGATAGATTGACTGTAGGGATGGTGTTCTTAGGGTCATAGTAAGATTACGAGTCGAGTTAATGCCAAAGAGCTCAACTTTGGTCTCATCTGACCACAGCACTTTCTCCCAGTCCTTTTCTAAATCATTTAGATGTTCATTGGGAAACTTCAGCGGGCCTGTACATGTTTTTCTTGAGGAGGGGGACCTTGCAGGCGCTGCAGGATTTTAATCCATGGCAGCTCATTGTGTTTAGCAATGGTTTGTTTTGTGACTGTGGTGCCAACTGCCTTGAGATCATTCACAAGCTCCTCCTGTGTAGTTCTGGGCTGATCTTTTACCTTTCTCATGATTATCCTTACCCCATGAGGGGGAATCTTGCATGGAGCTCCAGACCGAGGGCGATAGATGATTATTTTGTATTTCTTCCATTTGCGAATAATCGCTCCAACAGTTGTCTCCTTCTCACCAAGCTTCTTGCTGATGGTCCTGTAGCCCATTCCAGCCTTGCACAGGTCTACAATCTTGTCCCTGACATCCTTTGACAGCTCTTTGGTCTTGCCCATAATGATGGTGAGGTTTGAATTAAATTAAGAGATTCTGTGGACAGGTGTGTTATACACATAACAAGTTGTCATTAGGAGCACCTTTTTTAAATTGACAGGACTAATCTATGTACCACATGAGCACATAGTCAGTGGGAGCCAGAATTATTGTTGGTTGGTAGGGAATTAAATACTTATTTTCCTCTCTGAACTGCAACTCTCTTTTACTCTCTGAACTGCAAATTCATAACATTTGTATCATGTATTTTTTTTTTTTGATTTTTTGGTTGATATTCTGGCTTTATCATTTAAAACAAATCTATGTTTAAAATTATAGACCATTTATATGTAAGTGGGCAAACTTACAAAATCTGCCGGGATCAAATTATTATTTTCTCCATTGTAGTTGTTGGTAAATCCAAAGTAAATTGTGCAACCAATTTATAACACGTATGAGCAACATAACCGTTATATATAATTATGCAGGACTGGGATACACTGATATCTACAGATATACCAGTATCTAGTGTATCCAACACACTCCAAGGCCTGGTCCTTCAATGGCACATTGAGATCAGCAACTTCTACAAAAGATTCACAACACATTATTATTATTATTATTGTTATTATTATTATCATTAAAACAGGTTTTCTATTGCAGCATGATAAGTGATTTACAGGAAAATACTGATGTACTATTTGTGTCGTCAGGCACTAGGGTAGGTGTCTATCAGTGCCATTGTGCATATACCCATAAATGCCACTTTATGTACAGCTTTCCGGACCATGTAAAAGATGTATTTAAATGCTTCTTTATATTTTAGGCTTCTTCTACTGTGCACTGTTTAGGCCTCCGCATTTGTGGATGTAATTTCAGACGTTTGTTTTGCACGTATTTATGCGCGGAAATGTGCGCATGGGCATTCACGCATACAATACATTCTTATGCAAAATCCAAAGACATTTATGCTCATATGTGCGTACCAGCGCACAATACTGACCGGGAACGCAGATGTGTAGGCAAGCGCATTGTAAACAATGGGCTGCATTTCAGATCAGTAAAAAAAAAAAAAACACTGTACTGAGCTTTTTCAAGCTGCAGTGTGCAAGAGGCCTCTTACTACACAAAGGCAACTGTTTTGATTTGACATTGCTTCATATATTAGCCTATCTCATCTTTTACATCTCAGTGCTTCTTAATGTGGCCTTGGGTAAAATATTTTACTATGTTCATGCTAATTACTTTATTTTTAGAGCCAGTGTCTCATAAATATATACAAAAGTTATTACCTATTGTGTAGCTGTGCCAATGTACTTTCTGAATTACCATAAACAATTTTTGTCAATTCTAACAGTATTTTTTCTATCTTGGTATCATCTTATTTAAAAAAAAAAGTTCCCAAAAGAACAAATATATATCTACAAATTTGGAACTGTGTAAATGTTAGCATGTAATTGAAATTATAGTTGGCTTATTTGCATAGGCATTTTCTTGCAGCAGTAATTGAACAGCTAAATGAGCATTACAGTTACAAAGATTATCACAGCTTCAAGAAACCAAGCCTGATCTTTGGTGCCCTCAATTATTCTGATTCATATTGAATCCTTTTTATAAAGCTATAGCACAGCTAAGTCAATTTTTGTTTAAACATACCCAACGGGAGCTAGAGGTCTTTTTAAGTTTAGTACCATTTTGCAGCATTTGTCAGTATAGAAACCAAATACATAATAATAGTATGTTTATACTGTATGGGGCAGCACAGTGGCTAAATGGTTATCACTTCCACCTGGCAGTACTAGGGTCGTTGGTTCGAATCCCAGCCACGGCACCACCTGCTTGGAGTTTGCATGTTCTCCCTGTGCCTGCGTGGGTTTCCTCCGGGTACTCCTGTTTCCTCCCACACTCCAAAGACATGCTGGTAGGTGAATTGGATCCTGTCTAAATTGGCCCTAGTATGTGTATGTATGAATGTGAGTTAGGGATCTTAGATTGTACGACCCTTGAGGGTTAGGGATTGATGTGAATGTACAATATATATGTAAAGCGCTGCGCAAATTGACGGCGCTATATAAGTATCTGAAATAAATAATAAATACTGTACTGTAGTATATACAGTGGACAGTGACACAGAACATAAAAGACTAATATACTGTTGAGTATCATCAGAGATGCATGGCAATATGGATAAGGGATAGATCACCAGAATGTTACAGAATTAAACATTTTCTGATTTATAGCAAAATAATAATATTGAATTGCTGATGTGATGAGAAAATACAGAGGGGATATTGGTCTGTTTAGATTTATTTGCCTGGTATAGCATGCATAGATTTATTGCTTAAAAAAAACTGTATAAGTTTTTTAAA